GACCTATACTATCTTCACCTGCCCTCACCCGAACCTAGTGTATGAGACCTATACTATAAACACCTGCCCTCACATGAACCTAGTGTATAAGACTACACTTTCTACACCTGCCCTCACCTGAACCTAGTGTATGAGACCTATACTATCTTCACCTGCACTCACCCGAACCTAGTGTATGAGACCTATACTATATACACCTGCCCTCACCTGAACCTAGTGTATAAGACTACACTTTCTACACCTGCCCTCACCTGAACCTAGTGTATGAGACCTATACTATATACACCTGCCCTCACCTGAACCTAGTGTATAAGACTACACTATCTACACCTGCCCTCACCTGAACCTAGTGTATGAGACCTATACTATCTACACCTGCCCTCACCTGAACCTAGTGTATAAGACTACACTTTCTACACCTGCCCTCACCCGAACCTAGTGTATGAGACCTATACTATATGCACCTGCCCTCACCTGAACCTAGTGTATAAGACTACACTTTCTACACCTGCCCTCACCTGAACCTAGTGTATGAGACCTATACTTTCTACACCTGTCTTTACCTAAACCTCATGTATAAGACCAGGATAACAAATGTGAAATGTTCAGTGTCTTTTAGCAATGCAATGATTTAAACCCGACCTGTATACCTTTTCATGGCAGGCTCTATTCGATCTCCGACCTGCAATATTGGAATTACTGCTGAGACTATTGCATAATGGTACAAGCAGCCTTCATACAATGTAAGCACATATCATTGTGCACCAGCGCAGAAGTGAGACTGAGACTTACTGATCATTGTGCACCAGCGGAGAAGTGAGACTCAGACCTACTGATCATCGTGCACCAGCGCAGAAGTGAGACTCAGACCTACTGATCATTGTGCACCAGCGCGGAAGTGAGACTCAGACCTACTGATCATTGTGCACCAGCGCAGAAGTGAGACTCAGACCTACTGATCATTGTGCACCAGCGCAGAAGTGAGACTCAGACCTACTGATCATTGTGCACCAACGCAGAAGTGAGACTGAGACCTACTGATCATTGTGCACCAGCGCGGAAGTGAGACTCAGACCTACTGATCATTGTGCACCAGCGCAGAAGTGAGACTGAGACCTACTGATCATTGTGCACCAGCGCGGAAGTGAGACTCAGACCTACTGATCATTGTGCATCAGCGCAGAAGTGAGACTGAGACCTACTGATCATTGTGCACCAGCGCGGAAGTGAGACTCAGACCTACTGATCATTGTGCACCAGCGCAGAAGTGAGACTCAGACCTACTGATCATTGTGCACCAGCGCAGAAGTGAGACTGAGACTTACTGATCATTGTGCACCAGCGCGGAAGTGAGACTCAGACCTACTGATCATTGTGCACCAGCGCAGAAGTGAGACTCAGACCTACTGATCATTGTGCACCAGCGCGGAAGTGAGACTCAGACCAACTGATCATTGTGCACCAGCGCAGAAGTGAGACTCAGACCTACTGATCATTGTGCACCACCGCAGAAGTGAGACTCAGACCTACTGATCAGTGTTCACCAGCGCAGAAGTGAGACTGAGACCTACTGATCATTGTGCACCAGCGCAGAAGTGAGACTCAGACCTACTGATCATTGTGCACCAGCGCAGAAGTGAGACTCAGACCTACTGATCATTGTGCACCAACGCGGAAGTGAGACTCAGACCTACTGATCATTGTTCACCAGCGCAGAAGTGAGACTCAGACCTACTGATCATTGTGCACCAGCGCAGAAGTGAGACTCAGACCTACTGATCATTGTGCACCAGCGCAGAAGTGAGACTCAGACCTACTGATTATTGTGCACCAGCGCGGAAGTGAGACTCAGACCTACTGATCAGTGTTCACCAGCGCAGAAGTGAGACTGAGACCTACTGATCATTGTGCACCAGCGCAGAAGTGAGACTCAGACCTACTGATCATTGTGCACCAGCGCAGAAGTGAGACTCAGACCTACTGATCATTGTGCACCAGCGCAGAAGTGGGACTGAGACCTACTGATCATTGTGCACCAGCGCAGAAGTGAGACTCAGACCAACTGATCATTGTGCACCAGCGCAGAAGTGAGACTCAGACCTACTGATCATTGTGCACCAGCGCAGAAGTGAGACTGAGACCTACTGATCATTGTGCACCAGCGCAGAAGTGAGACTCAGACCAACTGATCATTGTGCACCAGCGCAGAAGTGAGACTCAGACCTACTGATCATTGTGCACCAGCGCAGAAGTGAGACTCAGACCAACTGATCATTGTGCACCAGCGCAGAAGTGAGACTCAGACCTACTGATCATTGTGCACCAGCGCAGAAGTGAGACTGAGACCTACTGATCATTGTGCACCAGCGCAGAAGTGAGACTCAGACCAACTGATCATTGTGCACCAGCGCAGAAGTGAGACTCAGACCTACTGATCATTGTGCACCAGCGCAGAAGTGAGACTCAGACCAACTGATCATTGTGCACCAGCGCAGAAGTGAGACTCAGACCTACTGATCATTGTGCACCAGCGCAGAAGTGAGACTCAGACCTACTGATCATTGTGCACCAGCGCAGAAGTGAGACTCAGACCAACTGATCATTGTGCACCAGCGCAGAAGTGAGACTCAGACCTACTGATCATTGTGCACCAGCGCAGAAGTGAGACTCAGACCAACTGATCATTGTGCACCAGCGCAGAAGTGAGACTCAGACCTACTGATCATTGTGCACCAGCGCAGAAGTGAGACTCAGACCTACTGATCATTGTGCACCAGCGCAGAAGTGAGACTCAGACCAACTGATCATTGTGCACCAGCGCAGAAGTGAGACTCAGACCTACTGATTATTGTGCACCAGCGCGGAAGTGAGACTCAGACCTACTGATCAGTGTTCACCAGCGCAGAAGTGAGACTGAGACCTACTGATCATTGTGCACCAGCGCAGAAGTGAGACTCAGACCTACTGATCATTGTGCACCAGCGCAGAAGTGAGACTCAGACCTACTGATCATTGTGCACCAGCGCAGAAGTGGGACTGAGACCTACTGATCATTGTGCACCAGCGCAGAAGTGAGACTCAGACCAACTGATCATTGTGCACCAGCGCAGAAGTGAGACTCAGACCAACTGATCATTGTGCACCAGCGCAGAAGTGAGACTCAGACCTACTGATCATTGTGCACCAGCGCAGAAGTGAGACTCAGACCAACTGATCATTGTGCACCAGCGCAGAAGTGAGACTCAGACCAACTGATCATTGTGCACCAGCGCAGAAGTGAGACTCAGACCTACTGATCATTGTGCACCAGCGCAGAAGTGAGACTCAGACCAACTGATCATTGTGCACCAGCGCAGAAGTGAGACTCAGACCTACTGATCATTGTGCACCAGCGCAGAAGTGAGACTCAGACCTACTGATCATTGTGCACCAGCGCAGAAGTGAGACTCAGACCAACTGATCATTGTGCACCAGCGCAGAAGTGAGACTCAGACCTACATCACCTACATCACCAGGGATAAGGGATGAGCCCAGTGCGATCTTTATTTGTAATCGAATGGTCTGCCCGTGACCCTCTTCGTGGCGATCGATGAGTTCCTCAGTCGAGGAAAACTTAATCCTGGCGCATATAGTGAGTTAACAGGAATAAAGGTATGAAGGCATTGTCGCGGCCAGTTGAAACTGACCACGATAACAACACCTGACGTCACCTACACGCCAGCCTGTGATGTCATGGCCACTTATGTACTCAATGAAACCCAATCATCTAGTGCCTTGACTGTTTGACAGATAGTGTATATGTGTAGGGCAAGGGTCAAGGTAACTAAATATACCCATAGAGGCAATCTATGTATACACTGCTTTACTGACAATGTCTTATGAGGTGGAAGGTGATTGCTGCTGCTTCTACATTTGTGTTCACTGATGGTGTTTAAGCTGTGTCCGCTGTCTATGACAACATGTGCAAATTATCATGTCGTATTTAAGACACGAAATGTAACAAGAGGACAAATACGAGAGTTTAGTGTTTTGTCATTCTGGGCTATCAACATGTTTGCATTGAGCACCTTCGAGTTTAACTATTATACCTACACCAGAGTGTTTCACGAAGTATATATTTCATATAATGTCTAGTTGCATTTTATATTAAATTCATATTGTATGCCTACTGTTGGTGTAGGCGTCTGATGACTTCAACAAACTGGCATCTTTTCACGTTAACTTTCGAATATTCATTTAACATGTACGTATACTCGCACACACCTATACACGCACACACACACACACACACACACACACACACACACACACACACACACACACACACACACAATCGCACACACACAATCGCACACATACACACACAGCTACACACACCTACACACATAAACACATTCGCACACACATACATACACTCGCACAGACACGCACACACATACACATGCACGCACACACATACACACACAATCGCACATAGCTACGCACACTTACACACATAAACACATTCGCACACACAAACATACACTCGCACATATCTCCACATACACATGCACGCGCGCGCGCACACACACACACACAATCGCACACAGCTACACACACCTACACACATAAACACATTCGCACACACATACATACACTCGCACACACACGCACCCACCTCCACACACACACACACACTTGCACACACGCACGCAGGCACACAGGGCTTAATTACTCCTGATGAGCGAACGAAGAGCGAACGCGTATGTCTCAAATGAGGAACAAAAGAAGTCTGCAGAGCTGAACTACACCTAACTGTGGAAGACCAGTTCCTGGGAAGATCTAGACCCGCGCTTAGGAGGGGAATGTTTAAACAACCTGAGACGTATTCAGTAACATGGTCATCACCAATCCAGTTCTAATCCACTTTCCCTGCATGTGTTAATATTCTGATTCCGTGTAACTGAGATTGTCTTGCAACATATATGCACCATCCTACGTAATAATAGCCAAATGAGTACCTCCTGGTTACTGGCGGTGAATGCGTCCCGGTATGTGACGTTGGGGTGGAGGGTAGGGCTGATGTAGTGGATTATCTCGTCTAGCTTCGAATCTACCTCTACAACAGGTGTGTCCAGTTGGTTGGGCCAGTAGTAGCAACCCTTCCCTGCCCCGCGACCCTCCTGCACCGCCACAATGTCAACTTCAGCCGTCGAAACGATGTTCCTGAAACCTTGCACGTGTTGGTCTACCGTGGCATTAAGCTGGGACCGGTTTAAGTCAACAAATGGGGAAATTGCAAAACGCTTGCCAACACCATGGACAGCTTTACCAAGATTTCTGTACAATTCAAGATAGATCGATTTGGTGTCAACCTGAGCGAGACAGCTTTCATCTGTCGAATAATACCCAGCGATGGCATCAAACAACGATTTGCTGCCATGTAGAGGGGTTTTCAAGGCTTTGCTTGACTTGTGGTTTCTTGTAAATGTCCAGCGGTCGACTTCACCGCCAATCCTGTGTGAGTACCGAGATTTGTGGTCCAGAAGAACCCGGGAGGTAAATGCGTAATAAGCAGGCATAAGTTCTTCGTCAAAACCGAACTTGTCGTAGTTGCCAGGAACCGCAGGAAGCCCCAAGTACACAGACATGTTATTGGCAGCTGCGCTCTCCAAAAGTAGCTCGTGTGGATCGGTGCCTGCGAATGACGTGAAGAGCACGACCACTGACGATCCGGATGTTATATTACATGGATCACTGAAATAAATAACAGGGCAACGAACAAACTCTCACATCCGTTCTTCACACAATGATAATTGCCGAGCTGCTGAAAAATATCGATCGTATGAGGAGTAATAAGAAACAGTTCATATAGAGGTCACATTCAAATATACCTGCAACATACTATTCTCGAATGGACCCAAACGTTTTCGGGAAAATGCATACTAGCATGATTATAATGGCTAGAATTATGGAAACGGTTAACGAAACCTTGGCAAATTTGGCAAAAAAACCATTATTGGGTTGGAGAACTGATTTCGATAGCCTGCTAATAATCTCAACAAATTAATCAACCAGGGTGACTATGGAATTTGAGGGTGAGTGAGTGAGTGAGTGAGTATGGTTTTACGCCGCTTTTAGCAATATTACAGCAATAGCACGGCGGGGGACACCAGAAATGGGCTTCACACATTGTACCCATGTAGGGAATTGAACCCGGGTCTTCGGCGTGACGAGCGAACGCTTTAACCACTAGGCTACCCGACCGCCCCCCCCCCCCCCCCCTGGAATTTGAGAACAGGCGGCATCAGACGATAACACGAAGACCGCAAGATCAGATTATATTCGGATAGTCAGCAGGCTCAATCTATCGATGATGTTTTCAGGCCGGTGTTAATGAGTTTTTTCAGGAATAGTACATCCTGGCACTGCTTTGGCAATCAGTCAGGACCTCAACCTCAATGGTTGTGACAGGTTGTAGAACTACAGAGCATGTGGGGATTGTGGCCCACGTGACAGGTTGTAGAGCTACAGAGCGCGTGGGGATTGTGGCATATGTGACAGGCTTTAGAGCTACAGAGCGTGTGGGGATTGTGGCCCATGTGACAGGTTGAAGAGCTACAGAGCATGTTGACATTGAGGCCCATCAGACAGGTTGTAGAGCTACAGAGCGTGTGGGGATTGTGGCCCATGTGACAGGCTGTAGAGCTACAGAGCGTGTGGGGATTGTGGCCCATGTGACAGGTTGAAGAGCTACAGAACATGTGGACATTGAGGCCCATCAGACAGGTTGTAGAGCTACAGAGCGTGTGGGCATTGCGGCCCATGTGACAGGCTTTAGAGCTACAGAGCGTGTGGGGATTGAGGTCCATGTGACAAGTTGTAGAGCTACAGAGCGTGTGGGGATTGAGGCCCATGTGACAGGTTGTAGAGCTACAGAGCGTGTGGGGATTGTGGCCCATAGGGCAGATTGTAGAGCTACAGAGCATGTTGACATTGACGCCCATGTGACAGGTTGCAGAGCTACATAGCGTGTGGGGATATTGGCCCATGTGACAGGTTGTAGGGCTACAGAGCGTGTGGACATTGAGGCCCATGTGAGAGGTTGTAGCGCTACAGAGCATGTGGGGATTGTGCCCCATGTGACAGGCTGTAGAGCTACAGAGCGTGTGGGGATTGAGGCCCATGTGACAGGTTGTAGAGCTACAGAGCGTGTGGGGAGTGTGGCCTATGTGACAGGCTTTAGAGGTACATAGCGTGTGGGGATTGTGGCCCATGTGACAGGTTGTAGAGCTACAGAGCGTGTGGGGATTGTAGCCCATGTGACAGGCTTGAGGGCTACAGAGCGTGTGGGGATTATGGCCCATGTGACAGGTTATAGGGCTACAGAGCTTGTGATGATAGTAGCCCATGTGATAGGCTGTGGAGCTATAGAGCGTGTGGGGATTGTGGCCCATGTGACAGGCTGTAGAGCTACAGAGCGTGTGGGGATTGTGGCCCATGTGACAGGTTGTAGAGCTACATAGCGTGTGGGGATTGTGGCCCATGTGACAGGTTGCAGAGCTACAGAGCATGTGGACATTGAGGCCCATGTGACAGGATGTAGAGCTACAGAGCGGGTGGGGATTGAGGCCAATGTGACAAGTTGTAGAGCGACAGAGCGTGTCGGGATTGAGGCCCATGTGACAGGATGTAGAGCTACAGATTGTGTGGGGATTGTGGCCCATGTGACAGGTTGCAGAGCTACATAGCTTGTGGGAATATTGGCCCATGTGACAGGCTGTAGAGCTACAGAGCGTGTGGGGATTGTGGCCCATGTGACAGGTTATAGAGCTACAGAGCATGTGGGGATTGTGGCCCATGTGACAGCCTGTAGAGCTACAGAGCATGTGGGGATTGTGGCCCATGTGACAGGTCATAGAGATACAGAGCATGTGAGGATTGTGGCAAATATGACAGGCTGTAGAGCTACAGAGCGTGTGGGGATTTATTGCCCAAGTGACAGGCTGTAGGGCTACAGAGGGTGTGGGGAGTGAGGCCCATGTGACAGGCTGTAGAGCTACAGTGCGTTTGGGGATTGTGGCCCATGTGACAGGTTGTAGAACTACAGAGCATGTGGGGATTGTGGCCCACGTGACAGGTTGTAGAGCTACAGAGCGTGTGGGGATTGTGGCATATGTGACAGGCTTTAGAGCTACAGAGCGTGTGGGGATTGGGGCCCATGTGACAGGTTGAAGAGCTACAGAGCATGTGGACATTGAGGCCCATCAGACAGGTTGTAGAGCTACAGAGCGTGTGGGGATTGTGGCCCATGTGACAGGCTTTAGAGCTACAGAGCGTGTGGGGATTGTGGCCAAAGTGACAGTTTATAGAGCTACATAGCGTGTGATGATAGTGGCCAATGTGACAAGTTGTAGAGCTACAGAGCGTGTGAGGATTGAGGCCAATGTGACAGGTTGTAGAGCTACAGAGCGTGTGGGGATTGTGGCCCATAGGGCAGATTGTAGAGCTACAGAGCATGTTGACATTGACGCCCATGTGACAGGTTGCAGAGGTACATAGCGTGTGGGGATATTGGCCCATGTGACAGGTTGTAGGGCTACAGAGCGTGTGGACATTGAGGCCCATGTGAGAGGTTGTAGCGCTACAGAGCATGTGGGGATTGTGCCCCATGTGACAGGCTGTAGAGTTACAGAGCGTTTGGGGATTGAGGCCCATGTGACAGGCTTTAGAGCTACAGAGCGTGTGGGGATTGTGGCCCATGTGACAGGCTTTAGAGCTACAGAGCGTGTGGGGATTGTGGCAGATGTGAGAGGCTGTAGAGCTACAGAGCGTGTGGGGATTGTGGCCCATGTGACAGGCTGTAGAGCTAAAGAGCGTGTGGGGATTGTGGCCCATCTGACAGGCTGTAGAGCTACAGAGCGTGTGGGGATTGTGGCAAATGTGACAGGCTGTAGAGCTACAGAGCGTGTGGGGATTGTGGCCCATGTGACAGGCTGTAGAGCTACAGAGCGTGTGGGGATTGTATCCCATGTGACAGGCTGTAGAGCTACAGAGCGTGTAGGGATTGTGGCCCATGTGACAGGCTTTAGAGCTACAGAGCGTGTGTGGATTGTGGCCCATGTGACAGGCTGTAGAGCTACAGAGCGTGTGGGGATTGTGGCCCATGTGACAGGCTGTAGAGCTACAGAGCGTGTGTGGATTGTGGCCCATGTGACAGGCTGTAGAGCTACAGAGCGTGTGGGGATTGTGGCCCATGTGACAGGCTGTAGAGCTACAGAGCGTGTGGGGATTGTGGCCCATGTGACAGGCTTTAGAGCTACAGAGGATTTGGCCAGTGCTGTAACAAGGCGGTAGTCCCTGCACAAGGGTGCCAAGTGCCCAAAATGGCATCCAGTCATGACAAATATGTCGTTAGTGATGTCATTACTATACTAAGTAATAGATATTGAATGTGGTATGTTAGTGAAATGTATATAAAAATACCTCTGTGTCGTTGTTGATAACACCAGACGATAGTAAATTCTGGAGCTCTCTATCTTCCTGTCAAATTTCGGACACACCATGATGACTTCACTGAAGTTTTCTTCATACTGGTATGTTGCAAATGCCGCTACCTTCACACCAAGAGCAGATAACTCTTGTGTTGCTTCATCGAAACATCTCGTTCCAGTCACACCAGTGCTGCTATTGGTACTGCCGCACCAGACGAAGTTAAGATCTCGCTCCAGGTCATCTCGCGACCTGCGGATAATTGGTGGCGCTCTCTGCCATACTGTATCTCCGCCTATAGCCTTAAACTGTGACAGAGTCGTGTTCCAGTCGCGTATGGTGTAGCGGTCACGGAACCAGGAGGCCGTAATAGGGTAGGCAGAGGCTAGCTCAACACAGGCCAAGAGGCACAAGGAGAAGGTGCAGTCCATCATCACCAGAGGCGTGTGTGTACTGATACACTGTGTACACTCGTGTAAACAGATAAGAAGCTTACTTTGTGGACTAAGTTATCACTGATAATAGGATTAACGTGATATCCTGGACACAAAGGTCATGGTCACTGAGGTACATGTGATCGTGTTACTATCCTAAAATGAAACGCATAGCTGAATTCAACGACATACTAATACATTTACAAAGATATATAAACGTTTTGAATGTCAGTATTAATTTAGGGGACCGACCATTTTGTCCCCAAACATTATTGACAAAAATATTTATGCTTCAGTCAGTTGAAAAAAATAGAAATTGCGAGCCACAAAAATTACATGGCTGCGTTGTGTTTTTCTCGAAAAAGAATGTCATGCTCATAATTTATATAAAAATATATATGGTTATTTAGCTGTAGCTAAAAAATATCTAGATCTAATCTCAATACAAAATCCCAAAATTTGGTTCACATCATATACTCTTGATGACCGCTGAAGGACAGGGATGTTGTTCTGTGCTTGGAAATCTGTAGTGAATCGAGCTGAGTGTGGACGGACATTGTCGTGTTGAGGAACGACGTAAACTGGTTCATGAATGGCGTGTGGCAGAATGATCTCGTCGTTGTAACGAACGGCTGTCAAGTATCCTGGGACGTGTACAGGGACTGTATTTCAGTGTAAGAGATAGGCACACCATAACTGTCAAGATCACAGTTGCATAATCTTTGAATTTGATTTGACTATAGGGTCATATCAGCACCACTGGAGTCGTAACGCCACGTAATGGTCTGTGAACTCCGGCTTCCCTCAAACGGTTCCTGGCTTTTAGGGCGGAGATTATGCGCAGACCTGGGACTACAGAAGTGGTAGAGGGCACGCAAGAAGCATTTATGCAGGTGACGTAAGCGGATGAAGCGGTCCTTGACGGACGTGGTCACCCGTGGTCTTCCAGAAACGTGGTCTTCCTCGTGCCTGATACGTCAAAATCGTCCAGTGGTGCTCTGTGAATATCCATGAGCCTTGACTGAGAGCCACCAGCCTCCAAATAGCCCATTCGTTGAGCCTTAGTAAACCTAGGCATGACTTACAAAGTTTACTTTTCCTTGAATATGTGATGACGAAATTCGAGACCTCTGCATTTTAAAAGCCATACTTGTGCGTGTAACATGTGCATCAAAAGCTTTACGAGAATCAATGGACTCTCATTTTACGTTGTATCTTTAAAATTTCATTTTTTACGTCGTGTCGTAAACGCGGTATATTCATGTGGTAATGAAACCCAGAATGTGTGAAAACCAACAACATGCAAATTGTGACACGATTTTAATGATAATTATACCCATCTCTGCGATATTTTTTCTCCAATTATGCGTCTATCTGGGGGTAGTATATGAGGAGAAAACCATAATTCTCGGACACATTGTAGTCGAAGAAGACAGACACAGCACTTATGAAAAGTCGAGTCAGTTTATGAAATGGCTAGAAATTGGATACTTCATGTAACATGAACATCATTAGGGGTAAAATTATTTCATAACATTATTTGTGATAAAATATGCATCTCAAATGTGCATGTTTGACATGTGATGTCAGTGAAGTTTAGGTATTGATGTTCTGTTATACTGTAGATCGTAAACCTGTCAATCAATCAATCTTTATTTCAGAAATACTGAAAGGCCATAGGCATATCATGCATATCTTTGTGGATAGTGGATGGACATATTCATTTCTACCTGTTTAAGTCACTCATCTTATCATTTCTAAATTTCATTGCATGGAATATATATACGCTGTCAAAGGCTTCTGTACATTGATATTTGTAGAAGACATTAATTCATGAAACTTATATATATTTGGAAATTTGTGGGTGTAGGTATATAATTCGTAAATTCTGGTAAAATGGACAAATGAGAACAAAATGGTACTCATCCTCTGTTAGCTGTAGATTACACATTTTACATAATCTAATTTCCTTTGGGGTTTTGAAATATCTTCGCGTTTCAATATTTAATTCATGTGATGAACATCTGAATCTGGAAGTGCAATTCTATATTTTTACAAGAGTGGTTTCAAAAGATATTCTGCAGTTATAAAATGTGTTTTAAACAAACTAAAGTACTGACATTTTGATGATAAAGCTAGCAAACAATACCACTGTTGTATGTATGTATCTTTGAGCCTTTGTGTACACAATTTCACAAAATGTTCAGGCGTTCTACATTTTGACTTTGCCAAGCATAACCAAAGCCTAAATCAGTAATGAGCTTTTTAACTGAAGAAACCCAGTTTTGCTTTCCATTTTTGTCATACAATACCATCATTTCATAACACCTTTTTGGGTACCTATCATTTGGCATCCGTAATAGCCTTAACCAGTACTTTATGATTTTAATTTGTGCATTTATATATAATGGAAACTTACCACATTCACCACATACAACTACATTTTGGGTGTTTATCTTTACTCCTAAATATCTTTTGCATGCATAAACATGCACCCTTTCAATCAATTCTAGCTTTTGTACTCCCCAAACCTCAGCTCCATATAATAGAATTGGCTTTATTTTGTGTAAAAAAATAGATTAAAATTTACACTCAATAGATCTGAGACGATTAAGTATCCCATAGAGAATTTTCTTTGCTTGTGTTGCAGCCTGTATTGAATGAAAATTCCAAGATCATTTAATAGAAAAATGTACTCCCAAATATTCATAGCTTGTAACTACGTCCAGATAACTGTCTTTGTACAACCATTTCTCCCTTTTTGATAACATACCGCCGTTTTTAAATACAATAATTTTGGTCTTCTTTGTGTTAACACTTAAACCAAATTGTTCACAAAATTGCTCCAGCACATTTATCTCACTTTGAAGTCCGGGTACAGTACTCGAAATCATTACGACATAATCGGCAAAACAGAAGCAAAAATATTTTAACAATATCTGGGTGTAGCTGTATACCACCTTTACAATTGTTTTGTATTTCTTCTGCCAGCTCGTTAATAAAGAAAGTAAAGAGAAAAGGACTTAATATACATCCTTGTCGAACGCCTACATTGCATTCAAAATCTTCTGAGTACTTACCATTACTTCTTACACAAGCCTTTACTTGTTCATAGATACTTGATAATAGTTTCAACATCTTGCTGCTTACTCTTCGTAATTTAAGCAAGGCCCAAAGTTTATCACGATTAACCGAGTCAAATGGTTTACAAAAATCTACAAAAAGTGCATAAAGTTTCCCTCCTTTACTTAATAAATAAGGTTGAATTAAGGAATGTAACACAAAAATATTGCCTATAGTTGAGTACCCCTCTCTAAAACCAGCTTGTGCCTCATCTATTTTCTTAAATGATTCAGCCCCAAATACTAATCTTCTATTAATGATATCTACCGGGTAAGAATATCTTATTGTGTACGCTTAATAATGGTTGATGCCTTTATTAGTTATTGGTATCATTTACATGACCTTGTTTGTGAAGAGGAATGATAATGCCCACTGACCAATCTTTGGGAAAATTGGAGTTTTCAAAAATAGCATTAAACAAGACTTCTATATATCGGACAATTACATCTGATGAATTCTTAAAAAACTCAGGTATTACATTGGCAATACCAGGAGACTTTTAATTTTTCAATCTTTGTATACTTGAAGTGATTTCTTCTCTTGAAATAGGAAGATCTAATATATCAGCTACTAAACTAGCCTCCTCACTGTCTATTTTGATGTCTTCCTGCAAATCTTCACTGTAATTGTCAAAAGAACAATGTTTATACCAGGTATCTATGTTTATGTCATTTTTATATACCCGTCTTTTACCATTCAAGTGTTTGAGAGTAGACCAGAACCTTTTTGGATCATTTATGCTACTTTCTAGTTTTTCTCTCTGTCTCGCCTTGTATTCCCCTTTTTAACTTCTGCCTGTACTATTATAATTATTTCTATCTTGGTTGTAAATTGATAAGGATACTGCATCTTTAGTTTTCCTAAATATCTGTAAGCACCTACATCTTTCCTTTTTGAGGAATGCACACTCAACATGAAACCATTTCTTATCTGTAATACTTCGACCAACTTTCCCTCTCATACAGATACCAGACTTACTCAATGCTTCAACCAAACATTGCACACTTTTATTGATGTCAGTTAATGGCACTTCCATTGATCTGTGAAGTAATTCTTGTACGGTATCAGAGTAAAAAGCATCACAAAATTGCTCGTTCTTAATATTGTCCCATACAAACTTGAAACAATCACCTATATTACATTGTGTGTTACCTAAATGTCTAGGAAATGTGACTTTTGCTGATTGTAGACTGACGATGACCGGTAGATGTGATGATTCAGCTCTTGATGTAATAGTAAAGTCAGAACAGTAATGAAAAAGTTACGTAAAATCAACAACATCCGAGTCAGAGCCACATCTCCCATTCATTATGTGAATGTTAAGTACTGAGCACTCTGTCTGGATTGCTGTGCACTCTTTCCTTGGTGTCGATTACGTTCAATAGATGAGGTGTAAATGCTCTGGTCAGTCTGGTGTCTCTCGGACAAGTCCTGGGACTCACTCTTCTCCTGTGCCAGTGGCTCCAGGCGTTGTCTCTCACTCTCCACTATCCTGCCCCCCTTATAGTAATACCGCTTGTTGGGGTTCTCAGTTCTCATCCTGTTGAGTTCTTTTCTCTGAAACTTTGTCAGATCATTAGCAATCCCAAATCTTTTAAGGTCTCCCTCATTGCAATTGCCTGTAGTTGATCCTCCCAGTGGGTCAACCGTGCGATTACTGGGCTTGGTTTCCCCTCTCTCTTCGATTGCAGCCGATCAGATCTCTCTATGTCCCTTGGTGTTAGTGGGGAATATTTGGGATCCTTTTCACGAGCTCTATTTAATACATCAATAACCTTTCCTTTACACACACTATATGTTTCACCACTACTACTCTCGGGTATTCCATAGATTGTGATATTGTTTCTTCTACTTTGTCTCTCCTGTTGCTCTATTCTGTTTTCAAGTTGGCTGATATATTCCCGGAAACCTTCCATATCTTCAACCTTTTGTGCTCAATGTCATATATTATATTGTGTAATCAATCATCGTTTCGAGTGCTTGATAAGTCACAAGTTATTTGATCGGCCATTGTCTCGAGTATTTATTAGTGTATCTAATCAGTCACAGCGCTCTCATCGTGATGTGCATACATATTATTCTGCCATCGTTAAGTTCGGTCTTCCAAGCTTTCAATGACATTTTCTGGGAGATAATTCTTCAAGCATTCCAAAGAATATTTCCAGACTTTATCTTGATATTCTTTGTTTCTGTAAAACATCATTATGGTTGTTAACTTTCACTTCCTGATATTGGTATAGCTTGAGTGGGAACAAATTAAAGAATCCAACAATAACTAACTCTTTGTGTACATGATCAACGGAGCATCAAGCAAGAAGGCAGCAACTTACACTTACTAACACACGGATACAGATACTCAGACTAACACATGAATAAAGCTACTCAGACTAACACATGGATAGAGATACTCAGACTAACACTTGGATAGAGATACTGAGACTAACACACGGATAGAGATAGTCAGACTAACACACGGATAGAGATACTCAGACTAACACTTGGATAAAGCTACTTAGACAAACACGTGGATAGAGATAGTCAGACTAACACGTGGATAGAGATACTGAGACTTACACGTGGATAGAGATACTCAGACTAACACGTGCATAGAGATACTCAGACTAACACATGGATAGATATACTGAGACTAACACATGGATAGAGATACTCAGAGTAACACATGGATAGAGATACTCAGACTAACACATGGATAAAGATACTCAGACTAACACATGGATAGAGATACTCAGACTAACACGTAGATAGAGATACTCAGACTAACACATGGATAGATATACTGAGACTTACACGTGGATAGAGATACTGAGACTAACCCTTAGATAGAGATACTCAGACTAACACACGGATAGAGATACTCAGACTAACACATGGATAGAGATACTCAGACTAACACATGGATAGAGATACTCAGACTAACACGTGGAAAGAGATACGAGACTTACACTTGGATAAAGATACTCAGACTAACACTTGGATAAAGATACTCAGACTAACACATGGCTAAAGATACTCAGACTAACACACGGATAGAGATATTCAGACTAACACACGGATAAAGATACTCAGACTAACACGTGGATAGAGATACTCAGACTAACAGGTGGATAGAGATACTCAGACTAACACATGGATAGAGATACTCACACTAACACATGGATAGAGATTCTCAGACTAATACATGGATAGAGATACTCAGACTAACACATGGATAGAGATACTCAGACTAACACGTGCATAGAGATACTCAGACTAACACATGGATAGAGATTCTCAGACTAATACACGGATAGAGAAACTCAGACTAACACATGGATAGAGATACTCACACTAACACATGGATAGAGATTCTCAGACTCATACAGGGATAGAGATACTCAGACTAAAACATGGATAGAGATACTCAGACTAACACATGGATAAAGATACTCAGACTAACACATGGATAGAGATACTCAGACTTACACGTGGATAGAGATACTGAGACTAACACTTAGATAGAGATACTCAGACTAACACACGGATAGAGATACTCAGTCTAACACACGGATATAGATACTCAGACTAACACATGGATAGAGATACTCAGACTAACACGTGGAAAGATATACTGAGACTTACACTTGGATAAAGATACTCAGACTAACACTTGGATAAAGATACTCAGACTAACACATGGCTAAAGATACTCAGACTAACACACGGATAGAGATACTCAGACTAACACTTGGATAAAGATACTCAGACTAACACGTGGATAGAGATACTCAGACTAACACGTGGATAGAGATACTCAGACTAACACATGGATAGAGATACTCACACTAACACATTGATAGAGATTCTCAGACTAATACATGGATAGAGATACTCAGACTAACACATGGATAGAGATACTCAGACTAACACATGGATAGAGATACTCAGACTAACACATGGATAGAGATTCTCAGACTAATACACGGATAGAGAAACTCAGACTAACACTTGGATAGAGATTCTCAGACTAATACACGGATAGAGAAACTCAGACTAACACTTGGATAGAGATAGTCAGACTAACACATGGATAGAGATACTGAGACTTACACTTGGATAAAGATACTCAGACAAACACGTGGATACAGATACTCAGACTAACACATGGATAGAGATACTGAGACCAACACGTGGATAGAGATACTGAGACTAACACTTGGATAGAGATACTGAGACTAACACGTGGAAAGAGATATTTAGACTAACACACTGATAGAGATACTGAGACTAACACTTGGATTAAGATACTCAGACAAACACGTGGATAGAGATACTGAGACTTACACGTGGATAGAGATACTCAGACAAACACATGGATAGAGATACTCAGACTAAAACTTAGATAGAGATACTCAGACTAACACTTGGACAGAGATACTGAGACTTACACGTGGATAGAGATACTGAGACTAACACACGGATAGAGATATTCAGACTAACACATGGATAGAGATACTGAGACTAACACTTGGATAGAGATACTCAGACTAACACATGGATAGAGATACTGAGACTAACACGTGGATAGAGATACTCAGACTAACACTTGGATAGAGATACCTTAGACCAACACGTGGATAGAGATACTCAGACTAACACGTGGATAGAGATACTCAGACTAATACACCGATAGAAATACTCAGACTAACACTTGGATAGAGATACTCAGACTAACACACGGATAGAGATACTCAGACTAACACATGGCTAAAGATACTCAGACTAACACACGGATAGAGATACTCAGACTAACACTTGGATAAAGATACTCAGACTAACACGTGGATAGAGATACTCAGACTAACACATGGATAGAGATACTCACACTAACACATGGATAGAGATTCTCAGACTAATACATGGATAGAGATACTCAGACTAACACATGGATAGAGATACTCAGACTAACACATGGATAGAGATACTCAGACTAACACATGGATAGAGATTCTCAGACTAATACACGGATAGAGAAACTCAGACTAACACTTGGATAGAGATAGTCAGACTAACACATGGAAAGAGATACTGAGACTTACACTTGGATAAAGATACTCAGACAAACACGTGGATACAGATACTCAGACTAACACATGGATAGAGATACTGAGACCAACACGTGGATAGAGATACTCAGACTAACACTTGGATAGAGATACTGAGACTAACACGTGGAAAGAGATACTCAGACTAACACACTGATAGAGATACTCAGACTAACACTTGGATTAAGATACTCAGACTAACACGTGGAAAGAGATACTGAGACTTACACTTGGATAAAGATACTCAGACTAACACTTGGATAAAGATACTCAGACTAACACATAGCTAAAGATACTCAGACTAACACGTGGATAGAGATACTCAGACTAACACAGGGATAGAGATACTCAGACAAACACATGGATAGAGATACTCAGACTAATACTTGGATAGAGATACTGAGACTAACACACGGATAGAGATAGTCAGACTAACACACGGATAGAGATACTCAGACTAACACTTGGATAAAGATACTTAGACAAACACGTGGATAGAGATAGTCAGACTAACACATGGATAAAGATACTCAGACTAACACGTGGATAGAGATACTCAGACTAACACGTGGATAGAGATACTCAGACTAACACATGGATAGAGATACTCACACTAACACATGGATAGAGATTCTCAGACTAATACATGGATAGAGATACTCACACGAACACATGGATAGAGATTCTCAGAATAATACATGGATAGAGATACTCACACTAACACATGGATAGAGATTCTCAGACTAATACACGGATAGAGAAACTCAGACTAATACACGGATAGAGATAGTCAGACTAACACATGGATAGAGATACTGAAACTTACACTTGGATAAAGATACTCAGACAAACACGTGGATACAGATACTCAGACTAACACATGGATAGAGATACTGAGACCAGCACGTGGATAGAGATACTGAGACTAACACTTGGATATAGATACTGAGACTAACACATGGATAAAGATACTCAGACTAACACATGGATAGAGATACTGAGACTAACACGTAGATAGAGATACTCAGACTAACACACGGATAGAGATACTCAGACTAACACTTGGATTAAGATACTCAGACAAACACGTGGATAGAGATACTGAGACTTACACGTGGATAGAGATACTCAGACAAACACATGGATAGAGATACTCAGACTAAAACTTAGATAGAGATACTCAGACTAACACTTGGACAGAGATACTGAGACTTACACGTGGATAGAGATACTGAGACTAACACACGGATAGAGATATTCAGACTAACACATGGTTAGAGATACTGAGACTAACACTTGGATAGAGATACTCAGACTAACACATGGATAGAGATACTCGGACTAACACGTGGATAGAGATACTCAGACTAACACTTGGATAGAGATACTCAGACTAACACGTGGATAGAGATACTCAGACTAACACATGGATAGAGATACTGAGACTAACACATTGATAGAGATACTCAGACTTACACATGGATAGAGATACTGAGACTAACACGTAGATAGAGATACTCAGACTAACACATGGACAGAGATACTGAGACTTACACGTGGATAGAGATACTGAGACTAACACTTAGATAGAGATACTCAGACTAACACACCGATAGAGATACTCAGACTAACACACGGATAGAGATACTCAGACTAACACATGGATAGAGATACTCAGACTAACACGTGGAAAGAGATACTGAGACTAACACTTGGATAAAGATACTCAGACTAACACTTGGATAAAGATACTCAGACTAACACATGGATAGGGATACTCAGACTAACACATGGATAGAGATACTGAGACTAACACTTGGATAAAGATACTCAGACTAACACACGGATAGAGATACTCAGACTAACACTTGGATAAAGATACTCAGATTACACGTGGATAGAGATACTCAGACTAACACATGGATAGAGATACTCACACTAACACATGGATAGTGATTCTCAGACTAATACATGGAAAGAGATACTCAGACTAACACATGGATAGAGATACTCAGACTAACACATGGATAGAGATACTCAGACTAACACATGGATAGAGATTCTCAGACTAATACACGGATAGAGAA